CCCGAGCGCCATCGGGGGAGCTCCGGCCCCGCGAGCTCAAGTCCCGCCCCGTCCCGAGCGCCTAGCTGTGCGCTCGAGCCCCACCGCGCACACGGCCCCTGCGAGTTCTGGTCAGGGCCCAAGTCCCATCCCCGGGACCCGCTTCCCTGTCCCTGCGAGCTCCGGCCCCACCCAAAGAGACAACCCCGTGTGAGCTCATCCCCCGCCGGAGCCCCATCCCCGAGAGCTCGGGCCCCGCCTAGAGCAGCGTCCTCGAGAGCTCCTGCTCCTCCTCCACCAAGATTCATTCCCGCCCTGCCCCTGCGCGCTGGGGTGGAGTGGTTTCCCGGGTCGGCTGGGCTCTGGCCTCCGRCCCTAGCCGCCACGGAGATGACAACTAACACTTGTCCCCGCAAGACACTCCCAGGACGGTGCCAGTACCATCCCCCTGGGAGAGGGTCTCGGATCTTCAGGCTGAGGCCGCACGGCCAGTCGGGGCCGGTGGGCCGCTGGCGCCCGTTCTCTTTAACGTCTCCAGAGCCAGGCCTGGTGCCGGAGGCCGGGACCGACCCCGGAGAGAATTTTGCCCCCAACGCGTCAGAGCGTGGTGAACCTGGTGACAGCGCGCCGCTGGAGCCAGCTGCGACGCTCCCGGCACGCCCTGCGCCACCCGGGCCGGAAGTGAGTGAGCACTTCCGGCCGCCATCCCCGCGGCCCYGACACCGCGGCGCTCTCCCTGTCCCGGCTCGTTCCTGCCATCATGAAGGATGTCCCGGGCTTCTTGCAGCAGAGCCAGAGCTCCGGGCCCGGCCAGGCAGCCGTGTGGCACCGTCTGGAGGAGCTCTACACGAAGAAGTGAGCACCGACGCGAGGGGCCAGGGCCTGTCCGAGACCGGCTGTGGGCGCTCGGACCCGAGGCGGGGAGGCCCGCGAAGCGGGACGTGTGGGGAGAGCGGACGGGCTGTGCCGGGGAAGGTCTGTGCCGTCCTGAGGGTGGCGGCCTGGGACGAAGAGGGGCAGCAGCCCAGCAGGACTAAGGGCCGGAGCTGTAGGGGTCCGGGATCCAGGGTTCACTGCTTTCCTGCCCCGGGCGCTGTGACTGAGGCTCTGAACTCTCCCTTCTTCTGGTGTCACTACAGGGTTCGGTGTTGGCCTGGGCTTTTGCTCTTGATTCAGTCACAAGCACACTTTCAGAGCCAGAGTGCCACCCTTGTGGGGAAACAGCTCTTGGAGACTTGTATTTAGCCACGCCACAGTGTGAGTGAATCTACAGTTAGTTTTCTTATGGTCTGAAACCAGTGAGCCGAGGTTTTCCTCTGATTCGACAGCTGATCACACAGGGTGCAACCACTGCCACTCTCCCATTGTTTCTACTTTCTATAATATTTCACACTGGCTTTGTGCCTCCAGAGATCTCAGAGTTTGAATTCCTTCAGAAACAGGGTGAACTTCAGAACAATTTTCTGTTGCTAAGCACCAACCTCTATTTAAATGAGTAGAGCAAATCGTTAGTTTTGGCCTAGACCTTGCTCATAGGGAAACACATCTGCTGTAGGAACCTTCCTGATGGATATTTAGCATAGAATCTTTCACAGCATGTCTTTGTTATTAATGGTGTTGGGCATTGAACTTAGGGTTTCACACATGCCAGGCAAGGGCTCTGCCACTGAGCCACATCCCAGCCCATGCACAGCATGTTTTGATGCTGTTCAGTAGCCTGCTAATAGTATTAGTATTTGGCAAAAAAAAATTGCTTTGTGGGTAGTATTTGTATTTATATATATTTATATTTTTTAGTTGTTGAACCTTTATTTTATTCATTTATTTATATGTGGTTCTGAGAATCAAACCCACTGCCTTACACATGCTGAGCAAGTGCTTTACCACTGAGCCACAACTCCAGCCCAAAGTACTTTTTATTTTTTAAAGCATTTTATCTGTACTGTTAAATATTGACCTTTTTTTTTTTTAAAGAAATGTGCTGTGTCAATGTCCTGCAAGTATATTATTAGCTTATTTCTTCCTTCATGTCCCATTCATGAATGAGGAAATTGAAACTTGGTTTCYTCAACTTCTTTGAGATACTCACCTAATGAATAAGAGAGACTAGATTTCAGTTTAGCTGTCTGATTCCAAAACTCTTGTTTCCAGTTGAACCTCCTGATTTTTTTGAAGTAGTCTAAACAGAAATTCTCTGTTTCATAGCTGGGAAACCTGTGTTTTAGAGTAAGTCAGCTCTATGTGACATAAACATTGAGTGAAAAGAACTGAGGTCTATTACCATCTGTACTAGCCTTCTCCTGTGCAGTCAGGACTGGTCAGCTTTGTTATCTGCTGGAACACTGAGGTTCCAGAGGTCTCAACTACCTTTTGGTTGATTATCTGAAGGGCCTTGTGTTTTCCAGGTTATGGCATCAGCTGACACTTCAAGTGCTTGATTTTGTGCAGGATCCATGCTTTGCCCAAGGAGATGGTCTCATTAAAGTAAGTGATTTGTGTCATATGAATGTTATAAGAATATACTCAAGGACTTTTCACAATAATAGATGATAATGATAATGAACTACACATATTCAGAAATAACTTTGTCTCCAGGAATGTTGTGAGGAGTTTGCATATTTATTCCTCCTCTTCACATCAATGTTGAAAGACAAGTAGTATTCTTATCTCTTTTTCTTTTTTAGTGTGGAAGCAGGCATAAGGGGTTAAGTAATTTTCCATAGGTCACAGCTAATAAGCCACAGAAGAGCATTCAGTTTCTAAAATTCTAAACCAGGGCTGGTGTAGCCCAATGCATGAAGTATGTGCTTTCCAACCCCAGCACCACCAAACCAAAAAAAAAAAAAAAAAAGCAGCAGCAGCAGGCACAATGGCATATGCCTATAAACTCAGGAGGATAAGATCAAAAAAGATCCTGAATTCAAGGCCAGCCTGGGCAACACAGCAAGACCCTGTCTCAAAAAGTAAATAAATTTCAAAAAATAAATAGAATTCTAGCCTAAAATACTGTCTTATCGTGTGCCCTGGTAAAAAAGAAATTTTTTAATTGCCGCTTTTGGAAAACTTTCTCAAAAATGGAAAATAAAAACCAGTTAGGGGACACAGTAGGAAACAGAGATATTGCAGTAGGTCATTTTCTAGGTAACCCCTTTACTCCTCTCCCTCACCCGTGTCTGACTCTGCTTACACAGACATCTGTCCTGAGTAATGTAGAAGACAGGGCACCTTTTGTATGTTAGTTGAGAATGGGTAGTTGGAGGGGGGACTACACAATATCATGCTGCCTCAATAATAGAGCACTTTTAGAATTTTTCAAYAGGAGGAATAAAGAGGATACACACTATTCCTAGCCCTCTTCAGATCCCTAACAAATCCCCATGGGTGTGTTCACACATGAAGCCTCCTCTTTGAGGTCTTTCCTGACAGCTTACTCTTTGATGACTTTCTCTGATTTTGAGTTAGATATTGTTATATTATAGCTAGCTTATAATTGTAGCTCATTTCTCCTGAATATGTTACTTTATAGTGCACATAGTAAAGGTTACCACCTACCTTATCATCATTTTTTTCTTTTTTTTTTTTTAGTTGTAAGTGGACACAATACCTTTATTTTTATTTATTTTTATGTGGTGCTGAGGATCGAACCCAGTGCCTCACCCGCCCCAGGCAAGTGGTCTACCATTGAGCCACAACCCCAGCCCCACTATCAGTTTTTATACCCCTCAATTTGACATTTTTCTACCCAAGGAATTTTCAGTTATCTGTGAGCCTGAAGATTTTGCTGAGCATTTCATCTTCTGAATCATGTGGAAAATGAAAAAAGAGCTGGGAGTGCTTGTACTTGTCTGTAATTCCAGCAGCTCCAGAGGCTGAAATAGGAGGATCATAAGTTTGAAGCCTGCCTTAGCAACTTAACTGAGACCCTATCTTCAAAATAAAAAGGACTAGGGATATAGCTTAGTGGTAAAGTGCACCTGCATTAAATCCCCAATCCAAAAAACAAGTCCTAAGACAGATCTCAATACTTGCACTCCATGATTTTACATTATAAAGATGTATAGTTCATAATTATTGCTATGCTTTGCTTTCTTATCTTTTTTGTCATTTTTCTTTTTAGTTATGCATGACAGGTGGATGTATTTTGACATACGCATACGTGGAGTATTACTTCCCACTTGAGTGGTTATACATGATTTGGAGTTAAACTGGTTGTGTTTTCATGTATGAACATAGGAAAGTTATATCCAATTCATTCTATTGAATTTCCCATTCCCATCCCTCTCCCGTTACTTTCTTATCTTTAAATCACTTTTACACACATGACAAAGAATTTGTTCAACCTCAGGTAATGTGACATTCAGGTCAACAGACTTGTTTTCTTTTTTTTTTTTCTTTTTTTTTTTAATTGGTTGTTCAAAACATTACAAATCTCATGACATATCATCTTCCATACATTTGATTCAAGTGGGTTATGAACTCCCATTTTTTACCCCAAATACAAGTTGCAGAATCACATCGGTTACACATCCATATTTTTACATAATACCATATTAATGACTGTTGTATTCTGCTACCTTTCCTATCCCCTACTTTTTCATGAATAAAATAGTCCTCAAAAATTGTTCAGAACCAGCCCACATAATTGTAACATGAATGGTGTTCATGAATTTATAGTCACCAGAAGAAATTTTGAGTTCCTGGACTTGGTGGACTTCTTTGTTTAAATAACTCCAAAAAGGGCTGGGGTAGTGCACTCGCCTGGCATGCGTGCGGCCTGGGTTTAATCCTCAGCACCACATACAAACAAAGATGTTGTGTCCGCCGAAAACTAAAAAATAAATATTCGTATTCTCTCTCTCTCTCTCTCTCTCTCTCTCAAAATAAATAAATAAATAACTCCAAAAATTATTAGAGGTGTTAGAAAATTAAAACAGTGACAACTGGGCTTCAAGGAATGAAGAGGTGGATGTTTGGTGTGGAAGAGAACATTCCAGATAGGAACAAATTACACCGTGTTTCAAGACTACTTCTGAAGGGCACAGAGTGGGAGGCACTGAAGACTGGTCTCTGTCCTAAATTCTTAATGTAAATGAGGACGATGTCTTTGAAATTGTTCCTGTAGTACACAGGTTACCTTGTTTAGCTGGATGTGTTCCAGATGTAAATATCTAACTGCCACAGGGACATTTCCATCTTTCTCCCTGCATATCCAACAGGAAGTTCAGGTTTTTCTTATCCAAACTGAAGCTTCCTTCTCCCACACCGGGCATTCCCTTTTCCTGCTTCTCTGGTCACTAGCCCAGGGGACACTTCTCTGACCAGCTGACGTCTGATCAAGTCTGATTCAACTTACTGACAAACRTCTCTCAGACCCTTTATCCATCCTCACAGCTGTTGCTCCCCTSTCTGCCCTGAACTGGTATCACTTGTCATCTTCTTTGCAGTCCTCTCTATCCTCAGTCCTGCTTCCCTCCCTGGTTCAACCTTGCCTTTAGAACTGAGGCCAATCCTCAGTGACTCCCACTCTGTGTCCTTCAGAAGTACTCTTGAAACTCGGTGTAATTTGTTCCTATCTGGAATGTTCTCTGACTCACCAAACATCCACCTCTGCAACTGCTCTTCATTCCTTGAAGCCCAATTGTCACCACGTGGGAATAGCCTTTGGATCCTCACATTTGGCTGACCTTATATGCCTTTTCCATTTCTCTTAAACTCATGTTATTGTCATTCATTCATTCTCCACTATCCCAGGAGACCCCTAAAAGCTCAGGATTTACCTCATTCTGTGTCTGCAGGCCTAACCAGGGTCTGAGGATGTAACCCAGTGTATGTGAGTGGCTAAGAAATTTAGTAATGAGACATAACTAGCCTATAGTCTTTTAAAATCTGAAGGAACTCTGTTCTGTTGGATTAGTGGACATTCCAGGTGGACAGTTTTTTGTACTTGGAGTACCTTGGAGAAAGAATATAGGAATTGGTCTTCAGAACAGAGTCCTCATTTCCAAAGCCAGAAGGAAACCCTGGTGGTGGGTTTTRTTTTGTTTTGTTTTTAATAATACATTGGTAGTCATGTATATGAGCTTAAGTTCTAAGGTGGGTGTCCTGCCATCAGCAAACATGTACGCAGCACTTATTCTGTGAGTAAGTACATGTGGTAAGCATTGTGGTTTGGAAACCCAAAACTTGATAAGAATGGTGTTTAGAGTCTGATTTTGCCCAATGAAAGACATCCTGTACTTACTCTCCACGATTGGTTCCACAGCTTTATGAAAACTTCATCAGTGAATTTGAACACAGGTAAACTCTTTTGTCACTTTTTTACTTTGCAAATGAGTCCACTGATACTCCTTGACACTCAGAAATGGGGTATTTTATATTTTAGGGTGAACCCTTTGTCCCTSGTAGAAATAATTCTTCATGTGGTGAGACAAATGACTGGTAAGCCTCACTTTATTTCATAATGGAGAAGATTCAAATGGTAAAGTGCCCTTCAACTATAATTTAATTGAAGTATAATTGGATAGACATTATCAAGCCCTAAAGACTATCCTGCCTAAATGTGTCTCAGCTGCYAGAAACATACTATTGATGAGTCTTCTGACTTAGTTCTTTTTCTTCTAGATCCTAATGTGGCTCTTACATTTCTGGAAAAGACTCGTGAGAAGGTGAATGTGGGATCTGAACAATACTTTCTGGACTATTTGTGACTTAACAGTTTGTGTCCATATTCTTAGAAAGCGTTCATCTTCCAGCTTGCGGGTTGGGTTACTGCACAGGTAGGAGCTCGCTTTGTGGTTGGTTGGCTGTCCTGGTTTTTGAGACTCCACTGTGCTTCAACATCTTCAGGTGAAAAGCAGCGATGAGGCAGTGATCCTGTGTAAAACAGCAATCGGAGCTTTGAAGTTAAACATTGGGGACCTGCAGGTCACCAAGGTGAGATTCTGTAAGAGATTTCTCTGACTTAAGAATGTTTATTTAAAAATACTTTTGAGGTTACAGAAAAGTTGGGAAAGTAGCACCAAAAGCTCTCATGCTTTTGGCACAAATTCCCCATTGCTTTTTACTGCCTTTGCTTCATCTTTCTGTGAGTGCATGCATACTTTTTCCAAATCATTTACAAGTAAGTTGCTGATATGATGCTCCTACTCGTCATCAAAAGAGCACTCCCTGTGCCCCTATTTGTCCCTCTTCTCCGGACTCCCAGGGCCTCAGCTGGGTTCACTATGACTAGTATCCCCGGCACTGCAGGTCATGTGCTGCTCCCCCATTCTCTCTCTGCCCCCTAGATTGTTGTTGAAGTCTCCTGTCTGGATTTATGCCTTTCTTATTTTCACTTTTATGAGGACAAGTGTCAATAAGAGTGGCAGCAAAAACCACACATGTGGTTAGTCCACCTTATTTAATCAGAGCCTGGGTGTATTTTTTGTTTTGTTTTGGTAATGATAACATTAAAGAAAATTTAGCAATAATAATTAAAGTGTTCATGTTCTCATTGTTCTCATTGCTTCCCAGTCCTAGCCCATATGCATACTTGTTACACTTTGTTCTAAAGTACTTAAGACACACCAAAAGCTATAGAGAACTGTAAGGAATACTGTAATGGGCACTCTCCTGCCCCAGCCAGCTCAGGACTAAAGCAGCACACATGCTCCTCCCCAACCTGACATTTTCAGTCCTGCTGCTTCATCCTCTCTTAGTGGGTAGATGAGTGTCACTGAGTCAGAGTTGAGTCACTGTGTTGATACGTGTAACCAGTTCATTTTTACTCGTATGTAGTGGTTCATTGTCTAAGAGTTTCACAACATACATATCTGGTCTCCTGTGAAGGGATTTGGTTACTGATGGCTTATCAGCCATTCCATTCATGTCTTTACTTCTGTAAAATTGCCTCTGTCTTTTGTCTATTTTTCTATTGTGTTCTACCAACCAATTTGTAAGAGTTCTTTATATTTCCCTGGTCATAATTCCTGTGGGATTACGCATGCTATAATTGTCTTTTCCTAGTAATAAGTTGTCTTGGGGGTGTCATGGTAACTGAGACAGGAGAAAAGGCAAGTTCTGGGAAACGTAGTGAGACTGTGTCTCAAAGACATATAGGATTTGGGGGGTAATTCAGTGGTAGAAGCACTTACCTAGGCCTGTGTTCAGTCCCCAGTACTACCAAAGAAAAATACACACATACAATAAATATATACGAATATTTATATATCATCTATGTACTTTTTGCTGTGTTTTGTATAAATTGAAGGTTTAGATTTCTCCATGTTTGCCTTTGTGGCTTGTGCTTTTCATTTTTATATGACATTAAAGATCTTTAAAGTCAGAAGACAACTTTACTACTTGTGTGTAGGAAACAATTGAAGATGTTGAAGAAATGCTCAACAACCTGCCTGGTGTGACATCAGTTCACAGTCGTTTCTACGATCTCTCAAGTAAATACTATCAAACAATCGGAAACCATGCATCCTACTACAAAGATGCCCTGCGGTTTCTGGGCTGTGTCGATATCAAGGATCTGCCAGGTACGTGGCCTCTATGGTTCAAGTCACACTGGAGCACGTTCTCATGTAGCAGCAGTAAGATGGCAGGGAAGCTTGCCCACATGGATTCATCCCTTTGGGAAGAATAGGTGGAAAGATTTCTTTATGCTTTAGTTTCTACATCATATTTGCCTGCAGCATTTAATTCAGATGACAAGGCTGGTTCCTCCCAATCCCTGTGCTCCTCCTCCTCCAAGTGTGTTGTTGTCCAAGTCAGAAATCTTATAGGAAGTACAGCAGTGTAAGTACTTCCTCATCCCCTGCAGGATGAYGACTGCCTCAAGTCCCTGACGCTGAGACCCTTGTTCTGAAATTGAATCTCAGATCCATGGGAATGAATTATAGTCGTTAAAGGGCCTGAGTGTGGAAATAAGTAACCAGAGAATTTGGGGGAAAGTGCAAAGAGTGTGTATTTAGAAAGATAACTTTTACATAATTGAGATGTTTCCCACATTGTATAGAAACCAGCACTTAAATACGTTGATGAAGTTTTGATTGTAGTATCTCAAAGTGTATTGAAGAAGCAACTAATGCAGTCAAGAGGTATAGGACTGGGCCTCATGGGAAAGCAAGCAAATGAATCATAGTTTGGAGGAGAGGGGCTGACTGACTGGGATGTGAGACAGTGGAGTGGCAGTGTGACTCCACAGCAGGCGAAGTGTTGGAGGAACTCATTACTTCAGGAGGTTGTACACACTGAAGAGCAAAGAGATGCATATATTTAGGGGAAAGGTAATAAATGAACATTCTTTCCACAAAACTTGTAATTGTGATCCCTGATGTAATCCAGGTCWGTCTAGCACTTTAGAAGAATCAATCAAACGAATGCTTTGTGAGGTTACCATTGCCAAGAATGGCTTCTTTACTTTTTGTTATGTGTGCTTTTTAATGCCGAACTGGACTAGTGTTTGTTGACTTGGGTTTGTTGCCATAGTGTCTGAGCAGCAGGAGAGAGCCTTCACACTGGGACTTGCAGGACTTCTTGGAGAGGGGGTTTTTAACTTTGGAGAGCTCGTAAGTTGATCCAGGCACTGATTCCTTGGCATGGGTTGGGAAGGGGCGCAGGGAGGAACTGGCCTTCTACCACCTGTACTGTCTGTCCCCACAGCTCATGCACCCTGTGCTGGAGTCCCTGAGGAGCACAGACCGGCAGTGGCTGATCGACACTCTCTATGCCTTTAACAGTGGTGATGTAGACAGGTTCCAGACTCTGAAGACTGCCTGGGGCCAGCAGGTGGGTCCATAGGCTTCTGGCCCTGCTTGTCCTCTCACATGCCCACTGTCCAAGAGTGTTGGGCTAGCATCTTCCCCACACACTGCAGGCACCCAGGCGACCCTGGGCATGGAGGAACCTTGGCAGGCCTGGCCTCACACAGAACAAGGCGTCTCATGGGCAGTGACTGCACTAAGGAAAGGTAGAGGGTGTGTGGGGGAACAGAACACAATGCACTTTTCATCTCTGCTGAGTGGAGTGGGTGTCAGAACCCTCCCAGCAGAAGTGTTGTGCTCTTTGTGACCATGGGGTGGGTGGAAAGACATAGGAAGAACTGAGCACTTTGCTGACAGAATAAGTGTGAGCAGACAGGTGATGGAGTAGGAGGAGGTGTGGTGGTGGGAGAAGAGCTCCAGGAGTGGGGCATCTAGGTGGTAGGGATGGGCTCTGAGTGGTAGGGATTCTAATATTAGACGCAGATATTACTAAAATGTTAACTGTGATGGGAATCATAGTTGTCTTGTTTTTGTACTTTTCAGAAACTTTAAATTTTTGCAAAGTTTACAACAACTTACACCAGTTGTATGCAATGGGGTAGGGTTGTTAAGGTGCTATGAAGAGGCAGAAGCGTCAGGCCCCATCAGGCCTGGCTGTTCCTGGTGACACATCACTGTCTCAGCAAAAAATGTACCACTCAGAAAGGGAGCCGTAGCCAGGCATGGTGGGCAGAGGCAGGGGGATCACTTGAGCCCAGGTCTTTGAGACCAGCCTGGGCAACATAACAAGACCTTCTCTTAAAAAAAGTGAGGAGGGAGGAAGCTGGCTAGCCATAGCAATTTAGAAGAAGAAAAGATACTCAGAGGTGCATGCTCCCTATGCCTGTCCAGTTCCTGTGCCAGGGTGTGAGCTGCCACTCATGTGGTTTAAGCCACCTGTCCACTCTCCCTGGCTGGCTTCACCTTCGCTTCACCTCTGTGGAGAGCCCACACTGCATGGGTCTTGCAGAAAGTGTTCTCGGTTCCTTGCAAGTCAGTCTTTCATTATAAATTGATCACTTGCTCTTTGATCTGTGTGAACTCCAAGACTCGGGGTTCTCCTCGGACTGCACTTGCACTGTGCTCATAAGCAGGCAGTGCTACCAGGGCTGCCCAGGATAGGTCCTTTGTCCTCTACTAGCAGTGCCTTGTGCCACGAGTCTTGAAAGGCCATCAGTACATAACTCTTACAGGTCACTTCTCTAGAGAAACAGCCTATCAGTCAGTCTTTTCTTAGATTTTGTAAGAAAGGGAAACTTCAGGTCACTTAACTGTTAATGAGCCTCAGCAGTCTGCAGTGTACATGTTTGGATCTTCCCCGCAGCTTTTTTTCCATCCACCGTGTAGAAAAAAAAAGAAATTGAGAACCCAGGTAAGGTCACTTGGTGAGCACAGACATGAGAGTCAGCTCCTCTTTCTGTGCTTCACAGCCTGACTTAGCAGCCAATGAGGCACAGCTTCTGAGGAAGATCCAGCTCTTGTGCCTGATGGAGGTAAGTGGCACCAAAGCCACTGTTGTGCTTTAAGACCTCGGTCAGTGAGCAGTGAGTCTCCCATCTCCTGTGTGGTGTTTCTTCCTCATTGCCCCACTCCTCATCTTCCCATAGCTGGGACAACCCCTCAGACAGGTCTTCCCTCCTGGGTAGTCTGAGCTGAAAGAGCTGCCCCTTCCTCCCGATGATATGGCTCATCCTCTCTGGTCTAGTGCTTGTCTGTCCTTCCCCACCAGAACGTGAACTTCCTCTGGAGATGGAGGTTCTGAWTTGGTTCCCCACAGTGTCCCCTGGTCTTGGGATACATGATGGCTTCAATTACCTGTTCAAGAAATAAGTAGTGGCTATTGTTGAAAATTCCTGCAAAGCTTATTTTCACCTTTAACCTTATTAATAAGCGCTGAAAGTTTGTTCCTAGTGGTAAGRCATTTGACACATTAAGAAAATTTTATTGTATGGGGTACTCAGAAGATGATCTGTGTTTTTAAAATGTATGTACCTATCAGATCTCAGCCCATTTTTGTTTGGAAAAAACAATTTTAAGTAGTTAATCAGCATTTTATTTTTTTTCAGATGACTTTCACACGACCTGCCAACCACAGACAGCTCACTTTTGAAGAAATTGCCAAAAATGCTAAAATCACAGTGAACGAGGTACAGTTCTTAGGCTTGGGGTATCACAGCAGCAGAGCTGCCACCTGTCAGAGCAGGGCACTGGTATCTGACAGGAGCCCTCCCACACAGGTGGAGCTGCTGGTGATGAAGGCTCTCTCGGTGGGGCTGGTGAGGGGCAGCATAGACGAGGTGGACAAGCGAGTGCACATGACCTGGGTGCAGCCCCGAGTGCTGGATTTGCAGCAGGTGAAGCCACTGAGCCCCTGGTTTGCCTTTGTTGGTTGGGTTATGTCTGCRCTATCTTGGTTTCATGGGGACGGAAGTCACTTAGGAAGAAGGCGTCACGGTACACATGGTTTGGGGAATGGATTATTACTGTGGGGACTGAAGCCTTTTCTTAGAACCCAGTTGATGCAAGCCTAGGGTCTGACTCTACACTTAGAAGTTTATTGTGACAACGGTGTTGGTTGTACTGATAAAGCCTTTTAATCTTAAAAAAGTCTTTTAATCTGAAAATTGGTGCTCTGATCAAACATGTTCCTGGTTTCATGATCTGAGCACAAATCCATCTTATTCATATTTGCTGGAAGTTTAATCCTGTGGATTTCCTCTATTCTTGCCTGTTTTCTTTAATGCAAGTTTTCTTGTGATAAGAATTGACCTGGGTGATCCCATTGCACACCCCCACCCCAGCTCTGATATCCTCAGTTCTGCCCCAAGAATGAGTTAGAGGTTAGACCTGCCCCAGTTGGCCTGCGGCTCCTGCATATCTTAATGCTCATGTGGCCCTGATTTGCCCTCAGATCAAGGGAATGAAGGACCGCCTGGAATTCTGGTGCACAGATGTGAAGAGCATGGAGATGCTAGTGGAGCACCAGGCCCATGACATCCTCACCTAGCACCCTGGTGCCCTGTGGTCCCACCTCACCTGGGAGGCACTTCTGTGGCCCTGAAGCTGGAACAAAGATCTGCCTTGAATTGGGGTGTGGATTTGGATCCTGTTGGCAATAGGGACTACTCACTGTAAAAATGGTGGACTGTCATTTATGGGAGCCCAGCCACAGGGGAAGGCTCTTAGGTGGGGGTGTCTTAACCTGCAGTGGGGTAGGGGTCTCCAGGCCTCAGGAGGGAGGGCAAAAGTGAGTGGGAAAGCTCTCAAGTCTGCAAACACCCCAAGGTGGGTCTCTGTCCCATCCACCCATGTGTGCATATTTTCCAGTGCATTCAGGATGTTTCTGTAATAAACGCCTTCACTTTACCCTGCTTATGCTTCTCTTCTTGGTCTTACCTTCCAGGACAAGCCTGTGCCTAAAGAGATGAGAAAGCCTGAGCAGAAACTAGGGAGGGCTTGGTGGGGATGTGGTCTTGGCTCCCGTCCTGCCACATACAGGGGACTGGGGCAGAGCCTTGCTCTTGGCTACCAAGCAAGTAAGTTCTCTTTATCATCGGGAGAGACACAAGGGTGTCCATTCCCTCCTCAAGCCCACTCAGGATTCCTCTCAGACATAGGTTTCCACACCAGTGCCACCTTTCCTCACTGGTAGCCGGCCACTTCTGTACCCCAGCATGCCCCATTGTTGACATTGAGCCAGCTCCCAGACAGTCCAGTGTTGGGTGTCTGCAGGAGACTCCCTGCRGTGCCTGGGCTGGACATGGGTACATAGAAGAGTCAGTGTGACCAGCAGGTAGAAGAAGGAGTTTAATGTGCTTTTCTAGGACTGCCCAGGTGGCCACAGGGCCTTCATGCTACAGAGCTCTTCTTGTAACTCTCCAGATGGGATAAAACCCAGCCTGCTGGAACCAGGAAGCTCACAAACATGGTCGAGATCCCCACAGCTTGCTCCTGGTGGAGGAAAGCACATGAGGCCATGAGGCCTGGTCACTGAAGGAGACTGCCTGCCACTGCCCCCCCCACACACACTCCACTCCCTGTGACTCTGTGTTTCCCCCACATGCCTTCAGGCTGTTCACGTGTACCCTGTACTGACATCTGCTGTTGTCCCTGAGGGTGGCCTTGAAGACCAGGAGGAAAGCCCTGGGCTCTGGGCCCAAGACCCWGGCTGCTCTCCACAGAGGGACAGCAGTACACACTCCCCTCCAATACCTGTGGCCCCACAGGCAGGGTGCCGTGCTGTATGGAATGGCAGAAACAACTGGGATTTAAACTGCTTGTAAATAAGCACAGGCCTTTCCATGAAGGATAATTCTGTTCAGAAGCCTGGTGGGGAGGTCAGCTTCCACCGGCTGCACCTGTGTGTCTGTGTCTGTGTGTGTGTGTGTGTGTGTGTGTGTGTGCGCGTGCCTATGCCCCATTTGTGCAGAGGGACCCCACCTGGAGCCACGCCTTCTCACTGGCTGAACTTAGAGAGCCCCGACCAAATTTCACTTTCAGTTCCCCCCTGAAAAAGCCAGGGTCAGGCCTCCCACCCCTCTATCTTTCTAAAGCTAGATTGAGGGCGGGGTTAGAGTCCCTCCTGTTGACTTTGACCCCCCCCCCAGGCTTAAAGGCGTATGTAGCCTGGACTCAGGTCTTAGCTACATGACCTTGAGCAAGTGACCCTGTAAACCTTGATTTGTTTATTCTTAAAACACTGCTCTGGAGTCAAGACAGCAAGGTCCACACAGCATTGAGTGTCCTCTGACCACTGGCCTTTGCCAAAAAGTGAGAGGCCTGAGTAGGGGAGCCTGGCCCACCACTGAACTCGGCAGCCACTTTGGGAGGCTGTCCTGCAGGAAATGCTKTAGGACCCCTTTCCTGGCATTCAAGACAATTGTCTTGACAGAAGCACTGACATCCAGCACCATGGCCGCCTCCCCATTAATAGCCTGSACTTGTGTTTTTGCCCCCAAACCTAGGAAATGGGCCAAGTCCTCAGAATGACCTACTGCTGTCTTAGAGGTCACTTACCATAGGAGAGGTAGGTGTTCTGGCCGGCTTGGCAGAGATGTGGGCCTTGGGAACTGCCCAGCATCGCAGGGGGGCTTGGAGCAGCTGTGTGATAGGGGGCAACCTCAGCATGGTTCTGGGGCCGAGTTCCTTCCCAAGTCAGCTAGGTGTCCCGAGGGCTGAACGTCCTCTGCTCACTTGGTGTCAGGTCTTTTTATAGCTGGAAGGAACTGCAGCTGTCCCCTCCTGTCACAGGGCTTGGCAGAGAGTAGGACTGGGAGAGGCCTGGCCTGGTGTGCTGTCCCCATAGACACCAAAAGGCTGTGAGCCCTTAACAGTGTGGATAGATGTAGCCCTTTCTAGAGAGAACTGTCACTTATTTGAGGAAAAGGAGGACCTCAGTGATAGAGAAGGTCCAGAGGAGTCAGGCTTAAGAATGCAAGAAGGAGAAACTGATGGCTAAAGGTGAATCTTAGCTCTTAGGGTGCCAGCCCCTCAGTACCATGCAGTTTCTGTAAAATTCTCCAACCTGCGGATTCCTCGTGCGGCCCAGCCTCCCCTTCTCATATTCAAGGAGAGCAGGCAYTGACCGCACAGCAGAGGAACAGGGTGAGGAGTAGACACTTTCTGAGTGCCAGCTATGAGCTGGGACACTGTCTGACCCCAGACTCCTGTGCCCAGTTAAGGCACCCCGGGCTGAACATGCTGGGCTGTCCAGTCCCAGTGCACAGGCCACTGAGCAGGCTCCATAGCTTCCCAGGCTTGCTCTTTGCTTCTGCAGATAGTGGTTGTCCATTCCTTTGCACTGCAAACAGTATCGTGTACCACTGATCCAGTCTCTGTCAGTGCTAACCCCACTGCTGCCCTGGGGGCCTGTCTACACTGCCTCCCCACAATTACCATGAAATGCAAGTTCAGTTCCCCAGYGTAGTTCTTGGCTGCTGGTTTCCCTCCCTCCTCCAGCCCCTGCCCGACCTCCAGTGGCACCAGGCTTCTCTCATTCTCTATCCACCTCTCCAACCTCACCTGGCCATAGTTCAGATAGCCTCAACACCCCCAGCTGCTCCTCATTAATCATGATGCCTGGAATCTGTTAGTACGTGCTCAAACCCCACTTTATGGTCCCATTTCTAAGGCCCTGCAGGGCACTCTCTCCTCCCTCATCCACTTCAACTGTGCAGACAAAATGTCTAAGCAGCAGCCTCAGTGCCCCCTGGAGCTTACACTCCAGGTCCTGCCTACCAGCAGCACTACACCCCAGGGTACTGGTTCCTCACCCTCCCCAAGTCCCACTTCAAACATTTCTTCCACCCCAGCTCTTCCCCCAGCACCAGGTCTTGTCACTGCCTCTGCTCCACATCCCCTAACAGGCTCCACTGCCATTTCCCACACAGCACACTTCCATCCCCATACTGGTGCCTTCGTGTTCTCGTGTGTCTCAACCGATCATGAGACTTGATTCAGATGACATCTCCTCAGATAACGTCTTGCTCACTGTCTGCTTCCTACCTAGASTAGAAGCCCTGTGAGGCTGTGTGTCCACCACCGAATGTTTAGGGCCCAGAGCAGCAGAATATGGCTTAGCTGAGTTTTCAGTCAGGGTGGGATAGTTGGGGCATCGGGATAGATGGATAAGGGGATAGATGGAGTGGGTTGGTGGGTAAGTGGATAGATGGGTGGGTGGGCAGATAGATGGATGGATGAGTGAATGTGTAGATGGATGGATGAATGAATGTGTGGGTAGATAGAAGGATTAGTGGATGGGTGGACAATTGGAAAAGTTGATATAAGGATGTATGATGTTTCCATCATGAGCCAGGCACTGTGCTAGATTCAGGAGATGCGAAGCTGAGTCAGACATGAGAGAACCTGAAGAGAAGATGCTCCACCATCAATGATGCAGGATATTGTCATGATGGTAATAAAGGCCACATCCCAGAGGGTGTGGGAGACCAACCTTACACGTGACTGGGTCACACTCCCCGGCTGGGTGCTGAGGCGCTCAGTCACAGAAATGTGGTCGGTGTCTCTTGCATGGGTGTGTCTTGCTACAGCCCCATGAGTGAAGCTACACTCACCTGTTCCTTTGTAATATAATCCCTTGCCCTGTTTAGGATAGAATCTTCCATGGAAGTGTCTTGTGTGTGTCCCCT